TGGCGTTCGATTTTGCCCTATTTTGAAAAATTGTCTCCTAATTCTTACCATATATTCGTACAAGTGCTTATTTTATTTGAAAGATGTCCACTGATTATAAGTACTCGATTTAATATTTCATTCTTGCTGGATAAACGCGGTCGCGGTCATAATGTTAAAGGTGAAGTGTATGAAGTGGATGAAGAAATGATGAAAAAATTAGATGAATTAGAAGAGTATCCAGAGAGAGTCCAGAATATTACGATCGTGAAATACAAGAAATAAGAATGGAAAAAAAGGATGAGTGAGTTCAAGCAGATTTATTCTTGAGATACGATTATTGTTTTTTTTTTTGAACGGTTGAGAAGTGCTGGTTATATTTAATGAGAAACTTCCCGGACTCCTTATTGCAAAAACCATTGCAACATTGCTCACTTCCTACCACAGTAGCATAGAATTCATTTATAAACCAAGATCTGAGCGCGATTAAAATATAAATATTAAAGACGAAATGATTTAATGATAAAAAAAAGATATGACAGGAATGATATTGCAAACAATTTAAGCTTAGACATGCATTTCTATTTCCATGTACTTTTAGAGTGAAAAGTAAAAAAGGATTCCAATTTCAATTTTACTCATTAGAAAAATGAAGACGAGAAGAGAAGATTCTAAGGATATGTTGACAATCAGTTCAAATATAAAGTAATTAAAAATTCTTTGTAAATATTTCAATGCATTTAAACATTTTTATTTCCAAAATAATTTATGTTAATAGAGACACATTACACGACAATTCATATCAATATTTTATTAATGTTCAATTTCTTTATTTATCCGTTTAATCTATTGATTACATAAGAAAAGTAGAACCGGGTCTTGTAGCTTACAAAGCCATTTTGTAAAGTATTAAACAAGGTTAACGTTCTGCGGCTGAACATCATTTTTTCTTACAGCGCAGTAATCCGTAATCAATCGGATGTCTTGTATTGGATTAGAAAAATCGCGTTCTGTTAATAATTCTGGTTTGTCTCCTAGTATATTTCCAAGATCATAATATGACATGACAAGGTTCAGCCTATTCTATTTCCTTTTTCATGTTCGTTGATTGCTTATGCTTTGGGAAGTGATAATATATTTTTTGCTAGCACATGATTAATTAATTAAATATGTTTTATATTCTATGCTATTTATTATCATTGTATTTTGAGATGAACTTTGTTTACAAATAAAAATCGTTCCGTTAACACGCTCCCTCTTTATTTTTTCTAAGAAATTAAAAAAACAGAATATATATTTACGGAATCAGCTGCCCCCAACGGTAAGAACTGCCATCTTCAGAACTCAGTCTTTAGTGGACAGGAAAAATATTTTATGTGATTTCAGCCAAAAACACAAAGAAGCCACGCTCGTTTATCGGCCATTGACATTTAATTTGAATATTTTAAAAATTCAAACAATTATTTGTGGGAACTTTATAACCATCGAAAACTGCGTCGATCTGTAAACATTCACAGCTTGTTCTTGTTCATTTTCTTGGTGTAGGGTGCTTGTTCTTGTTCATTTTCTTTGTGTAGGATGTCATCATATTCCATATTCATTTCATATTCCATTTTTCTCACTTTCATAGAACTTACTGTGGTTAGTTTTTTAACAGCCTTTAGGAAAGGAAATTTCGATAAGTGGTCAACAACTACAAACATCCCAATATTACCTGTCCTACTACGGGGATAAGGACCTAGAAAATCGGTGTACAGTTTTTGAAAAATCCTGTGGGTCATAGTAGTTTTGCTCATGGGTGGTCGTAAAATATAATTAGGGTGTTTTGTCATTTTACAAATATCGCACCCATTTATATGATTTTTTACGTCAATAACCAAGCTAGGCCAATAGTAAAGTCGACGAATTCGTTCTATCGTTTCGATTATTCCTAAATGGGAAGACAGTCGATCATTGTGTGCGTTGTAAATAATCTCATTAATCATCGTATTTGGAATCCATAATTTCCAACATAAAATCTTCATGTAATTGCTCATCTACTTCGTGTTGAGTTGTACACAAATCCATCTAGTATTTTTACATCCGGCAGTTTATTAGCATTTCCTTTAGTGCCCTGAATTAGAGCTCGATAATCCTCTGTTTTAAAATGCGGTGAATTTAGATCCACAAACAGTCCAGTATCATCAACTGTTAAGCTGTTTACATAACAATTTTGTGGAATATTATCTACTAAGTCTGCTGAATTCTCATCGTCTGAATTAATCCGTGAGAGTACGTCGGGAACAACGTGCTGACTGCCTTTTCGATGACAAATTTTAAGTTTAAAAGCCTGTAGTTTTAAAGCCCATCTTGCTAATCGGGAGTTTAAATCCGTTTGAGACATAAGCCACTTTAGAGATGCGTGATCGGGTGTTTGACATTCTTCTTAAAAGGTACGTGTTCTATGGATCATATTTAAGAAGTAGTTAAGTTTGGCTCTAAAAACGAATCAACTGCGTACAAAATATTATGCAATCCCGAAAAAAAAAATCTTTCGTTCATAATTTGTAAATCAGGTTCCTATATTTGGTGATAGGTGTCCAAGATTCGTTCGCGACCGAATGTAATTTTCTTTCATGTTTTTTTGGTTTTAAATTAGGAATCTTCCATGGTTAAATTTACCTGATAGAATTTTAATAATTATATATGAATTTATAAGAATGTCTGTAGCACGTTTCGGTAATCAGAAACTTCTTTAACTTCCTTAGCTTTTACGAGACTGTGAAGAATAGATATGAACTTCTAAGATCGTGGGCCTTTTTCTAACGTATAAAAGGAAGGTAACTTTAAAAGTTAAATATGCCTCCGGCGGTGTGCTCATAGTTGCTTTTAACGTGACTGCATACAATCTTTCTTTTGCGTTTTCTTTGCTATTAAGCTTAATTAAAAATTGTCTTTCCTTTTTATTAGAAATAAGATTTACATAAATGTTTAAATTAATGCAAAAAACCCGTCAATATTTAACACACGGCGCTTATTTATTTATAATTTTTATAAAGCTAAACCAGAATATAAAAAAATATATATTTTTATTCTTTCGCTTCTAACTATGTACATTAATTATAATCTTTTATAACATATAATAAACTTAAGGGGTAAAACTACATTGCGGATGCGCAATTATAATTAATTTTTACGAAAGACTTATGAGCGTATTGGAAAAATTTGTTACGCATGTATGCACATGTCCTGAGGAATTTCAATTTTGTGATAATTTTTTAGAAACAAAATGATGGCACAATAGCTCTCTCTGCAGGAAGAAAAAACTTATTTGAAATATTTGTTATCTATGGTTTTTCGAAAGTATTGATTTAAGTTGACGTCGATTTTAGTTAAAAATATTGCATATCTTTGAAAATATTACTTGAGTAAGTATTGAATTTCCTTGAAGATGATAAAAATAAGATGTAAAAATTTACAAACATTATCCCTTAAATAAAGCAAAAAAAAAAACAAAAGGCAAGAGTATAATTCGTCAAAATTTGTGATGGAAACTTTTACTTCTTGTAACCGTACGAATTAATCGTTTTGTACTCATTTTCCAATGTCAGCATTAATTTATACCAGTTGTAAGCATCGACCAAGGATTCTGTATTCGTTCCACCGTATTCAGGTGGTAGGCATTCTGGCAACATGTAATTGTGGAGTGATTCACGATCTGTACCATGGAATATTATACGTGAACTTAATTTTTCGCGCAAAAATGGTTTGAATAGCGAAAAGACAACATTAAAGATTTTCGGTTGGTTAACAATATGTATAGCTTTAACTCGTAATGGTATAGAATCCTGAAGCCAATCGATAAGACGTTTAGCAAAAGCTGGTGTAAATTGCCAAGTTTGTTGCAAACTTAAACCGTCCATATCAAATATAACGACTGCGCCGTTAATTTGAGATTCTTCTTCTGCCACAGCCACCTCAACGTATAAAACAGCAGCCTTGAAAATCTCATCCAAAGCCACCTCTTTATGTTTCCAATTTTCTTTAAGGATCCAAAAAAATGTTTTTTCATGCTCTTAAAGAAAATGTCGCTATTATTATTATTTGATTTACTTACTGCCCAAACGCAAGACTACTATACGACGATTATGCTGATCGCGATTTTTAAAGGCTACACATACGTTATGTTTAAAAGTATTTTCTTCTCTACTCGGCACAAGATCCTGGAATATATTAGCATGTTTGACTTTAAAGGAAAAATAGTGTTTCACCTAAAATGAATTAAATTAATAATCATGAATTAACTGAAGTTCAAGCGAAAAGCATTGATTATTTGTATCGCTCACCAATTCAGCGGCACTTTCCGGATAATATTTACAAACTCTTAAAAAGCGTAAAAGGAAGCGATCTTCTCGGGGATATTTTAAATCAGTGTCAGCTAAAATAAAGTAGCTAATGTTATATAATTCCCGCTGCTGGAGTAATAAATTTGTAACAAGGTTAAGTAAGCAAACGAGTTTAAGTTTGTTATAAGCATTTTCAGTAAGCGTCACTTGTTCGACTTTACATTTGTCTTTTCTTTAGTAACTGATCTTCTCAACTTTTTGTGTAGGTGCGAAATGCGAAATTAGGGTTTTTTCCTAGAACGGCATCAATGACATTTGATATTTCTTAACTGTATACGCAGCAATTTTCACTTTATTTTGGATTTTCAAAAATTTACTATTTAATCATAACGAGTAAAAAAGTGAGGAAGTAAATTTTTATACTCTATAATATTGGCCGCTAATTTTGCTATTATCAAAATAAAAATGGAACTTTATATGGTGTATGTTATGTACTTTATGAATAACAAGCAAAACACACGGAAAGGGAAGTTGTTCACAATTTTTGTGGCACGGGGGTGTGGGCGTTGTAGCTATGTCCTTTGATCAGTCTAGGCCACTTTCAAATTTTTTAATAAATTTGTAAGCGATATCTTTATTTGAGCGAACGGGGTAATGCCAAGAATTTTTATACTTGATAGAGTTTTTGAAGCTTGTTTCCGCACCTTGTAAAGGTATTGAAAAAAAAAATTATTACTGCACTATATTATTGGGTGGGCGAAGTCCATTTTTCCTCTTTTCGTACAGATTCTGCAGCATCGCCCATAGAACATGCGCTCAGTCTTCAAATTATTGTAGCAAAAAGCAATTTTTTATTCCTTTTGAAAAATCAAGACGTTTTCAGTTCAGGTGGCACTGTAGGCTTGTCCTTCGGCCTATTTTTGTCACTTTCAATACCAATGTGTGCGTAGTACCAAATTCAAGGTCAATATCTTTATTTTTGCGACAGGGAGAGTGTCAACAACCCACTACATGGGCGGACAAACATAGTTTAATTGATTCAGAATTTCTAGAATATATGTGCTTTGTAGAGTCTATGAAGCTTCCCATTGGATGTTGCCAACATTACGATGAAATGGATGCACGCCCATCCATTGGTAATGAGTACAAAAAGTATCCCTTTTCAATATTTGGAACTCTTATAAATTTGCTACCAAAGGTACGTAAAATGTTTCGGACATGTGAAACACCTTAGTCACGTATCGATAAAATATTCGCAAATGTCATTTAGTTCTATTTAGAAAAACATACATGGATATGGAATTATATTATTATTATTATTAATTTAACCAGAGAAATAAATTCTAAAATGTTAAAGCACTACCATTTAAGGCTATCTGCCCTAGTATTTAAAGGCAGGTCAAAAATGTGAACCGACGTGATCCACATATAATAAAAATCTATATTCTCGTCAAAGATTCTTTTTTTTCTTCACTATCTTAAAAATAAATTGATAAAATTATATCTTGTTGTCACGTAAAGATATACAGACCTAAGTTGTTCAAACTTGTTACCGTAAACATAATTGTCGACTATATATTTACGAAATGTGTTTTGTAAGAATATTTATATGGGAAGAGATCAGTAGCCGATCCCATTCAAATTTTGCTCATTTACGTAAACGAAAAATATTTTCATATCCATTTCATTCGCTCAGTTTCACAATGTAGTTTTATTTATGAAGAGTGATCGTAAATACGATACGATATAATTAGAGGGTGGGTCTGAATCAAATCGACCTTCATAGGAAGTGATACAGAGCAGAGAAAAATGAACAGGGGACGAAAAAAATTATAATTTCCATAATTTCAACTAGTAGTTATATCTATCAACTTAGCAGAAGCACATTATTCATCGATGGGTCTTTGAACTTTTCTATGTATGAAATCATCATATGATTAAAAAATCAATAACGCAAAGTTAATAAATTTTTAAAATAATGTTAAGCTTGACTCATGCCTACTATCAAATGCACTTAGCATTACTTATTTCAAAACGTACTTCATACGTTATGTAAACACATAGTTTTTGCGGTTTTAAACGAAACTAGAATTCTGAAGTCAAGTGCAGCAAAACAAAATAACTTTTCCATTAGCAGAGAAATATATTTAACAAAGGGGAAAGCGGGGAAGAGAGCTATGGTTTTCTTTAGAAATTTCCAGATAATCTTTTCTTTTATAAATATTGTACCACCACATTACTTAGACAGTGTATTGCATTTTATTAATGCGAATTTTAAAATCATGTACTGAAAATCGTTCATTTGCCGATAAAACCACTTTGGAAAATAGCTTAAATAGGACCAGGATTCCTCGTATGACAGTAAGAAAATTGCAGCAAAACCGGCAAATTAATATCTTTATTTGTTTACACATTAGACTGTGAAGATCCATTCCTTACATAGTTGGGTAACCGGATTGATTATATTTTTTTGAATACAAATTACGTTCAAAAATATCAGATCATTTTCTACGATAAAAGCGATCTTCAACATTTTCGAACAGTTTTCTAAAGAATAGTATATTAGCGATGACATTAAAAACACCACAGTAAAAACATTCTGTACCAGTGATTTGGCCTTACCATCTAATAGTTTTTTAATTTCTTGTAGACCCTTTTCACGATTTTCTGGAGTCTCTCTTAATTCCCGTTGGGCCACTTCTTTGGAACGAGCACAAGGTTCACCTAATTCTAAAGATAATTTCATCTCGCCTACTTGTATGTAAGGGCTGACTTCACCAGACAACAGCATAGTTGTAATTTCTATATTAAGAAAAAGAAGAAATTTTTTAATTCTTAAAGACATCAAGTAATTAATAAGTTAAATGATTTCTTAATAAGTTTCGTAATTACAACTGTAAATACAAGGATTTATAACTGTTACGAACTCTATTATGAAAACATTCACTTATAACCGGTTCGTAATCATCTGCCTCTAATAGTTTCTCTACTTAAACTTTGAACAAAGCGTACAAATAATTTGAATCATATGTTTCCTATTATTATAACTTGTAAAACAAATCTATTATCTATTCTAATCTATTATAACGTGTCTCATTTTACTTAAGAAATATATATTTTTTTTCATTTAATAAGCACGTTTGAAATAATTTTATAGCTGTTTAAGCATGAATTGTTTTTCAAAAAAATAAGTAATTGCAGTTAATTGGTGCTTTTTATAGTTATGTTTGCATTATTTATTTATATTCGTAGTCGGAAAGGTTCTAATATATAAGATTTAATATAAAAAAAGCATTGCATTGTTTTACATTTAATATAAAAGACGCGTTGAAGAGCAATCTTCGAGTTCTTTCACTATTTCTTTGAAAATTTCAACGATCTGAAAAGACTTTTATTTTTTACCCAGTTTCATTCATTTACTTTTGTTCATTGCATTCTTATTATAAATTTACTCTTACTAAAGAGTATTTAAACAATGCTTTTCTTTCATATTATGCTCCTATAATAGAACATTTGTTTTAAGGTTACCATTTGCTATTATTTTGGTCATTTTCAAACACAAATTTATGGATATTGGTTAGAAAATTTGCTGCTTTAAAAGTCAAATTAGGACCTTTTTTACATTGCATTTCCCTTACACTTTCTCAGTTTTGTAAGTGATTTGTGTAGAGATTTGTGAGTGCCTCTGTATAAGACAACTTCTAACCATAAAACATAGTAACACTTTTATAAGCTCATAAGAAACGATTATTTGTCCATGGAATATTCTTATATATGCCTTTTGTATACTCCGAACGCCTCTCGACGAAAGAAATTTTAAATATCCTCCCTGGAGGATTCTAACAACCATAACAAATACCTTTCCGATGATTAGTTTTCTTGTTAGTAAGCGAAACAAATAAAAGAGTTATATCTAGTCACATTCTAATATTTTATATACGCTTTCTACCCATGTCTTAAAATATACTAAAAAAACAAAAAAAAGAACTAAATTTCTGTAGTTCATAATACTGATCTTTTCCATTTTTTCTAGAATAATTTATTTGTTATAATTTACTGGTAATTAAAAAAAAAAGGAATAGAATACAAATGGAAATTTTTACAGTTGTATCTGTTTTAGCTTGCAAGTAATGAGCAAAAAACCAATTTTTTTTTTGTTTTGAAAAATACAGCTGTTCTTAGTTTGCAAGGTATTGTAGGAACGATTAAACGATCTTTGTCCATTTCTATTATAAATTTGCGTCCAGGAACTTCCAATGTTTTTACCAAATTTGAGGCCGATGATTTCATTTTTATTTTACACAAGCGGATAGACGCGCATTCTGAAATGATGTTGATCAAGAATGTATGCAGTCTATGACGTGCCTGACATTTCCTTCTCCATCGCTGGATGCAAAATTCTAAAGTAATGTTAGGCATTTTTACATCGTCGCATTATTTGTTTAAGCAGTTTAGGAGCGGAAAAAACTTAAATAACTTCTTTCAAAAAAGCAACGAATGAGCGAATTTAATGAAGTCTACAAATCGGAGAATCTTGAAAGGTAATTTTTGATTTCGCCCACAAATGGATATATATATGAATATATGAATAAGCGTCCACATTTGTTTACAATTTTTAATAATTCTTCAAGTATCTGAGAATAAGCGTATAAAAATTTGCCGCCAACTGAAACTGATTCTCAATAATACCAAACATCTGATAATAAGCGTTCACATTTGTTTACAATTTTTAATAATTGTTCAAGTAGTTGTATAAAACTATTTTCCGGTAGACCATATGAAAATTAGCTTCCTTACTGCGCTGTTGTTATTAAAAAACAGTGAGAAAACTGTATTTGGTTGCGATCAAATTTCCTATACCTATCACCGTTGTCATAATTTTTTAAATAATTCGTGAAAACTTATATCTTGCATCTCGCAGTTGACAAGCAACAAGGAAGAGAAAGGGAATGCAAAAAAATGTTCATAGTTTTTGTTGCAGGAACGTGAGGGATGCATTTTTGTGTTTCAAAATGCTGAGAAATAAAAATCTGTCTATCTACTTCTTATTTTTTGGATGCTAAAGAATTTAAATGTTCGTAATTCGTTCGTGGTCCAAATTTCGTTTCCAAATTTCTTTTTGAGGTTTTAAGCTTATTTATTCTAATTTAGTCTCCTAGGATTCGTTTTTTCTTGATTATATGGGTATCAAATAAAATAACTTGCAGAGTAGAACGCGAAAAACAGTTTTAGTTAGTTTCAGTTAGTTTTTTACGTTTCCCGTATTGTCTTTTGTTAAGACATGTGGAAGGTTATTTTGGCTTTATAAACATTGTTGTCTTAGTTACGAGCTATATTTCTAGGAACAAAAATGTTGTGGGGAGAAATTTTCTGAGCTTTTGTTTATTTTCATTGAAAGATATCTAGCTTTCGTTTTGTAAACATTATAATAGGGGATATTTATGGTCGAGGATATTTATGGTCTGGGAATTTATGATCTTAACAATAAACTACATAAACTTTACTACTCTACAATAAATAAATAAAATGCAAACTTCTTATACGGAAGAGTGTCATCAGTTCAAAAAAGGAGGTGTTACTGTATAGTTAAACATTTAACTCCACCTGAAAGGACAATACACAAATACTTTTTGGTGTTTATTCTTCACTCAACATCAAAACAACAAGTGGAGGCTTTGTTGAGGAGTTCTGCTAATAACTTTGAGTTTTATATCTTTGTACGCAGTAGTGTAGTTTGAATCATTTTCAAATTCATTTGTAAGTTTCTAGGACATATTTTCATTTTTCCAAACGTGATAATGTTTAGCACAAATACTACACACTTACTCAGACGGACAGATGATCAGACGGACTTGCTCAGGTGCATTCCGAATTTGAAATTGGCAAAAACTTTATATACTTCATTGCGTTTTTGAAGCTAGCTTTTAGGCGTTGTGAAGGTATTGAAAAAAAATGAAATTGTGGCACACTATAACGTTTGGAAGGCGTGGTGAATTTTTTCGAGTTTGTAGATTTATCTCTTGCAGCTTTCGATTAATGGGCAAAAAATCAATTTTTTGTTCCTTTTGAAAAAATGAGATGTTTTCAGTTAATGTGGCATTAATTTGGGCCATTTTCAATACTAATCTACGTGCAGAAACTTCTAATGTTTTGGCGAAATTTCAAGCTGATAGCTATAATTTTGCAGCCAAGACAACGTTTACAACATCAATTACACAGACGGACTTGCTTAAACCGTTCCAGAATTTGCTGCTAATCAAGAATATATATCCTTTGTGAGATCTTTCAAGCTTGCTTTGGGGCGTTGTAAACGTTTTGACAAAATAAATATACCACTCATCTTTCGCTGATGGGCATAAAAAAAGGGCAAAGAGCGAGTCTGCATTTGGTGGCAATTGAGTTGAATTGAAAGAGCGATTCCGTCTTTGATGGCAATATTTAATAAATGTACATAAAAAGTGAATAATTATTCAGTAGTCTTTTAGTGATTGGTTCCACAAATTAAGTTCTACATTGTGATTGTTTCCCATAGAGGTGGTAGCAGAGTATTTTGCTAAGGTGTTTCTAACAAGCATAGAATATATGAATGGCCACGGCCACGCACTTCCTACCGTATAAGTATTTATTAGCAGTGAAACGCGCACTTTTAAATGCATATCAGTAGAGGTCTGCTTTAATTTAAAGAAACTGCTTTAAAACAATTTGGTCACCCTATTATACAAATTCATTAAAAAAACATTTGACATGCACGCGCCGTAAACAGCGTTGAAATAGAAAAAAATACGAATGTAATTTTTGTTAACCTAACTGCGGAGAAAGTCTTAAGCTTTTTTTTAATATTAAGAAATAAGTGCTTTATATATTGACTCTCCATTATATGTTTCTAATAAGCATTAATAGATGAGTTTTTGTGCGGCTTATCTATCTGTCTGTCATGATTACGCCCTCGAATCTTTGTTCAGAATATCGCTTTTGAGACTTCTTCTTGTTTCTATTTTTATTATCATTCCCTATTAGCAATTACAAGCGATTCAACAACCTATTCTTTAGAGTTTTTCGTATGGTATAAGAATACTTGTTATTTGTTTTATTACGTAAAATAAAATGGGTTATTTTCCTTTTTTTTGCATCTGGGGCTTATGTTACAGCTGTATTTATTTGACTAAAAGTACCTATTTCATTAATGAAATAGAATACTTTACATATATATGATAATGACTGATAAAGGATCTGCTTTGTTTTTGAAACGTTTCCATATACATATTAAAAGACCAGAAAACAATAAATAAATGGAAGGTGTAGAAGATTCGGTTTAAATCAATTAAATTTTTTATTTTATTTAACATATGCGCGCGAACAAAGCATATGTTTTTCTTGCATTTGGGTCGGAATTGCTTTGCCGATAAATTATTATAACGAGTAATTGTGATAAATTTAAAATTGCTTGGAATAAAAAATAAATAAACGTATGAACGTAGGTCGGCTGCTAACTTTGGTGAACTTCAGATCAATTCATTAATAATACTTATAAAAGTTCTAATTAAATTGAAATGATCTTTTATTAATCATGATTTGTTTCTAAGGTGAAAGAAAAAGATAGATTCTTCTCTTTAAAATTGTTTCGTATTCACTTCATATTGAACAGTGTACACATAGTACTTTCAGAATTTTTCACATTAAAAAAATAATGATGTGATTATTACCACACACTTAAACAAGACTTGGTGTTAAGAACGTGTTTTTTGTTTTCAACTTGAGAGAGATCCGCTCACCGGCTCGTTGCTGCAGCAAAGTAAAATTACGACTGTTAGAACTAAAGCAAGATAACTGTGTTTTTATTGCAACTGGTGAAGGCTTTTAGCAAAAGAAAAAAAAGAGTAACTGAGTAATAACAGACGCAAGTTTCTGTAGATCTCTTCTTGTTAGGAACGATATTCTCTACATTTTCCAAATACTTACTTTTGCCCTTTAAACCCAGTTAAGAGAAATGTCGAGATCAGTAATTACCTCAACAAATGAGAGTTGTTTGAATGTAAAGGAAAAAAACAGCTAAAAAGTTGTGTAGAGGATAGACCCTGACTTCCTTTAACCTTATTACGTAGGAAATATTTGTAAGATATTCATCGCATCTTTTCTAAAAACTGGACGGATGAAATGTCGCATATTGAATGCAATAAAATCTTTGCATATAAATATATATATACAGATATGAAGCAAAGTAAGAATTTAAGGAAACCTAAATACTGTTTATGGAGGGACCTCCATAATGTTTATGGAAGGATCGTACGTTTTCGATATCATTCTGCGAGCGATATTTTTACAATATTTTTATCTGCAGGTGGTTGCGTTTCCATAATAACTTTAGATGTATTCCAGTCCTTTCGAATTTTTTTAATAATAAAAGAGCCAAGCAACGGTAAACGACAAGACAATAAAGAATAATTATTTTTTTAAAAAGTTTTCCGTGTTTATAAAACTTGTCATTTTCGACTGATTACAATTAAGCCGGTAGAATAAGTTTTTCCATATTTTATAGAAATATTTTTTAAGCAGAGACGATGAATGCTTTTGCGGATTTTAGCTTATATGACAGTTAATCACTTATAGATAAGTCAATATACAAACATATATTTGCTTTCTTATAAGAGCATATAATCTAATGTCAACCTCTCTTCAAAATTTGTTGAATAATTTGTAATTAGCGCCCAAAACTTACTTCCACGAGTATAGTTTTCTTTATTTTTTATTCACATTTTTTTTTGTTGACAGTTGATATAAATTACAAAGAAAAAATAGCTTTAAGCGGCAAAAGTGCAAGGTGAAGGCTAACCACAAGTCACTCTTTCGAAAAATAGATAATACAGAACGAGAGTGTTACTGTTAATGTACGCACAGACCGGTTGTACTTGAAAAATTCTTAAAATTAGCAAATCTTCGGAAATTCTTATGTGTGAATGTATGTATAAGCTGCCTGATAGATAGTTATTAATGCCATTTTTTATTATTTTATATATGGTATATTAAGTTAGTGCGGTCGTATGTAACACGCGATAGGGCTTAACATAGATCTCTTTTTTATTGTACCAATTGATTCAGAATCATAATCTGAATTGCTCTAAGATTGTCTGTCCGCTGTCCGTCTGACGTCTATCTATGTATATTGATGTTCACGCTACAGGTCGTAATTTTTGAGGTATTTTGACAATTTGGTATAGTGACGTGTTCCGAGCCAAGGACGAACGCTGTTGAAAATGGTTGGGATCGGTCCACTTTTCGACCACCCTCCATATAACGCTTTATTCTGAAAATCGTATATTAAAAAAAATGCAATTTTTAAAATTTCTCAGCAAAAGTGGCTAACTAATAATATTTCGGCATTCTAAATTGGTGTGAAAACTTTGGCCCGGTTGTGGCAATTTTTTTTTCATATAAAGACATCTGAAGTTCATATGGTAAAAAAGTCTCATTTTCAATGCTTCATGATGAAAATTATGTCATAATAGTTATTCAACATAAAAAAATCGACTGTACTAAATTTAGACCATCTCGGCCTATTTTTTGGAACCTACTCTAATAAGCAATTTCACGAAAATTGATTCTTTGTAAAGCAAAAAAGCATGGGGAGAAATAATTAATGGAAATTGACCCATAATGTTATAGTAATTTCATACAAAATAAGCTCCTATTTTTGGATCCTGCCGTATGTAAGGATTAAAATTGTACTACATTAGGTTTCGTTTTGAGAAACAAGACATAATTTTTGTATTCTGTAATAAAAAAAGAATAGCGTCAGACAATAGGTAGGATATTTAGGCCTTGCACGACTATGGTGTTCTTATTTGTTTTAAATAAGATAATTTAGTGTGCTTCTTAATAATTGACCATATTTTTTTTAAATTTCTAAAGCAATATGTGTGACATAAACAAAGGCCATTGCATTTGCTTGCGGTTGGATGTTGTATACACCAATGATGCAGATACAAATGAACACTTCCATATAAATTTGATTTTTAATCCACTAACATTCGAATGTCAGGATGGCCGAGCGGTCTAAGGCGCCAGACTCAAGTGTAAAAGCTTGCTCGTGTTTGCACGGGCGTGGTGTTGAGCGTTCTGGTCCTCTCTGAGGGCGTGGGTTCGAATCCCACTTCTGACAACACTTATTTTTTATAATGATAAATAAGTTTATTTTTGTTTTAAACACATAAAAAACAAAAACTTGGACTTTCATAGATATCTCTATCACGTGCTAACTTTAAAATTCCTTTTGTTAAACGTATTTTTTGTTACATGTATATCTTTGTATTATTAGAATCACTGAAATTGGAAAAATTAGGGTAAATAGGTGAAATTTATTTAGCAAGTTTCCGAAAAGATAGCTTGTAAGGTGATGGAATTCCTTACGATATCTTCTGCTGCTTTCAATAATGTTGGGCTACGTCCTCTTTCTTGATCATTGTTTTTGAAATTATATATTTAGACTATTATATATTTTATAATTGAATGAATTCGATGTAGTTGGCATCTTCAGCCGGTTTATAACTACTATGTATTTTGAAGAGCCCTTCGATGTCATCCTTGTAAAAGCTTTCTTTACCCATCAGCGAAAGGTGAGAGAGATATAGGTGTACAACATCTAGAAATAACGAAGTGAACGTGTCCGAGAAAGAAAGGTAGGCATATATATTTATTGCATTATAACTATCATTAAAAACTAATAAACTACATCCAAAGATATCTTCTTCCTTGTGCACTATTTTTGACATTAAAACCCCGTTAAACTGACGAATGCAGTAAGCCTAGTATTAAGCAAAAGATGCTATCTGTAACTTTTAAAAATATATCGAAAATATAAAAACATTTAATATGTGTAGATTTACTCTTCGTTCAACTTTCGCTTGTGTTGGATCCGTCTTCATTTCACATTTTATTCCGTTTGAAGAGCTAGTTCCATGTAATTAGGAATTTAAACTGTAAATAAATAAAAACGTAAAATAATTTTTTTAAATTTTCTCGATATATTTCTTTTTCATTTTTCAAATATGTGAGACGATATTGTAAAGCGGTTCCACAATGGTCGTCAATTATTTCCTGCATTGCCTCAATATGCCTCAAGATGTTTTTCTCTCTACCGAGACTTACACTTGCAGGCAAAAAAAAAACGAAAAAGAGTCGAGAACTAATGTTTTTTTATTATCAACTACTAATCGCTTTTGAAAAAATCGATGCGAAAAAAAAAATGAAACAATTGGAAGTACTTGATAATATAATAATATATGTAATATAAATATCGCGTATGTCGTCACGATTTGTTGTTGTTAATTTGACATAGTGAATTCTATTGTTGTGTATTTAAGTATATAAATGATTATGGCATTCGTTAATCACAATCCGTTGTCTTTGTTTTATATTGGTCTCTACTATTTAAAACCGAGTTTATTTACTTTTATCAATCAAAGAGAAAAAATAAACAGACAATAAACCACCTAAGATATTTAGATATCGTAATGCCTCAATTTCTTTTTGATCTTGGTCGATTTTATTTTTATATAAATCTTTTTTCAAATTTCATACTTTTGTATGATTGTTATTTTTGTAAATTTCATACCACGCCCAATATCTTCCCCCCAATTTCTTTACTTGTTACCATATATTGATTTCATATATCGCGGAAGCACAAAATTGTTACGTTTTGTTACCTAAGACATACAAAACTAGAACCTAACATTCTAATAATTTTGTCAGTTCTTTTTGGACTGTTAGCAACATTTTGAAACGTTTTTTCTAACTCATGGCTTTAGCAAGTTTAGTTCGACATCAAATTTCTTCTCGGACATAATTTTCAATTTTAGATATGCACTGCAAACAGCAACATACAACTATAATTAATAAAGTAAACTGTTTCATTTTTGAAGATGCTTTTCTAAGCATTCCGTGGATATTTTGTTCAAGAGAAATACACTTCAAAGTTCATTTATTTACAATTATATTCCTTAACAGTAGGATCATCTATTTGCAATTATGTTCCTTAAATGTAGGATTATTCACAATTTATTTTGGCCGTACTCTCAACTTCTATGCTCTTGCCCGACTAACTGTCCCTTCCACAAATACTCTAATTATATATATTTTTTCATCGGCCTGTAGCTGCATGACGCGACGGCGTGCATTTGTTTTCTCTTCTTTAGGGAATTTATTATTAGGGAAAATTACTTAGCTGAAATTTACTGGATTTGTGATTTTCGTAACAATATTATGATATATGTATATATTCGATTATCTATTAGTGGTTAATATATTAATCACTAAGCGCAATAATTTACTACTAAGGAGATGTGGCTGTCATAAACATGCTAGGTTTGTTGTCCCTGCAGTTACGTTCGTAATAGAAGAGCCAATATTTTTTTGCTAAAGTTAACACGCAGAAAAAGTAAGATATCTCCAACTAAATTCCTATCATGGAAGACTTATGCAACCGACGATGAATATAATTTTCTTGCTTCTTCACTACAAAATAATTCTAGTGTTTGGTAAGAAAATTGAATCTTGATTTGCATCTATTGTATATGACACAAACCCGGAATGTATATAAGACACATAAATAAAGAAACACTCTCGTCCGTAGCTAAGTCGTTTATATCTATCACGTTTATCTTTAAAAAAAATTTTAAGAAAATCTTAAAATAGATCCCTATAATATTGGGTGGGGCCTATTTTTCCATTTTTATAGAAATTTTTGTACTTTATGAGTAATGACGACAAAACCCATTTTTTTGCTTTTGAAAACAGATAAGCTCTCACTTT